GGATTTTTCCCGGATTTTTCCCAGATTTTCCCGGATTTCCCTCACCGTTTCATGGTGAGCAGCCGTGAGTCCAGGCTGTGCTGCCGTTCCCACATTCCATCCCCACATCCCATCCCCCATTCCCTGGGGGTTTATTCCCGGATTTTTCCCGGATTTTTCCCGTATTTTTTCCCAGATTTTCCCGGATTTCCTCACCGTTTCATGGTGAGCAGCCGGGAGTCCAGGCTGTGCTGCCGTTCCCACATCCCATCCCCACATTCCATCCCCCATTCCCTGGGGGTTTATTCCCAGATTTTTCCCAGATTTTTCCCAGATTTTTCCCGGATTTTCCCGGATTTTTCTCCTCACCGTTTCATGGTGAGCAGCCGTGAGTCGAGGCTGTCCTGCCTGCCGCGCATGGCGTGCATGTCGGCCAGCAGCCGCGCCACGCTGTCCTGCCGCAGCCGCGCCTCCTCCGGCTTCAGCGACGACACCTGGAATGGGGGAAAAAACGGGAAAATCGGGAAAAACGGGAAACCCACACCTGGGAAACACGCGGCAACCTTGGGGAACTTTGTCCAAATTTTTTTCGGATTTTTTTCCGATTTTTTCCAATTTTTTTCCGATTTTTTTTCTATTTTTTTCCAATTTTTTAATCAATGTTTTTGGGATTTTTTGGGGGATTTTTTCGCAATTTTTTGGATTTTTCTCAAAAGTTTTCAGGGTTTTTTTTGAGGTGTTTTAGGGATTTTTAAGGAATTGTTGGGGATTTCTTTGGAATTGTTTTGGGGATATTTTTGGGGGGTTTGGGCTGTCCTGCCGCAGCCGCACCTCCGCCGACGACACCGAAAACGGGGGAAATCGGGAAAAATGGGGAAAAAATGGGAATTTGGGATGTGGGAAACACTCAAGAATTTATGGGAATTGTTTGGGATTTTTTTGGGGTTTTTTCCCAATTTTTTTCGGATTTTTTTTCTGATTTTTCATCAAATTTTAGGGGATTTTTTCTGAATTTTTTCCAATTTTTGGCCATTTTTTTCCAAATTTTTCAATTTTTCCCCAATTTTTTTCTGATATTTTAAAATTTTATTAAGAGATTTGTTTCAGACTTGTCAAATTTTTGTGGATTTTTTCTGATTTTTTTCCAATTTCTCGTCAAAATTTTGGAGATTTTTTCGGAATTTTTTTCCCATTTTTTTCCTCATTTTTTCTGATTTTTCATCAAATTTTTTGGTACTTTTCCAAATCTTTTCCTAATTCTTTATCATATATTTGGGAATTTTTTTCCAATTTTTAAATTTTTTTTTTTTCAATTACTTTTCTGAATATTTTGTCACCTTTTTTGTTTTTTTTTTTTAAATTTTTTTTTTCCGATTTTTTTTCAACATTTTTTTTGATTTTTTTCCAGATTTTTTCTGACTTTTTCTAATTTCCTCTCAATATTTTGTCAAATTTCCTGGGAATTTTTCCAAATTTTTTCTATTTTTTTCCAATTTTTTCCGTTTTTTTTTTTCCAATGCTTTTTTAGAATTTTTGGGGATTTTTTTCCAAATTATTTTTTAATAATTTTTTGGGGGATTTTTTTTGGGATTATTTTTGGGTTTTTGGAGGATTTTTAAAGAATTTTTGGTGATTTTTAAATGGGAATTTTTGCTATTTTTTTTTTTTTCAATTTTTGCGGAATTTTTTATATTTTTCTATAATTTTGGGGGGATTAAAAAGATTTTTTTGGGGATTTCTTGGACAGGATTTTTACCATTCCTGAGGAAGTTTTGGTGCTTTTTTGGGGGAATTTTTCATGGAATTTTTTATATTTTTTCCGATTTTTAGGGGGATTTTTTTCCCTTTTTTTTTTTCCAGATTTTTTTTTTAGAGTTTTGGGGGGATTTTTTTGCTGATTTTTCCCAGACAATTTTTCCCATTTCTGGGGAATTTTTGGGGATTTTTTTAAATACTTTTTTATAAATTTGGGGGGATTTTTTTGGGTGATGTTTACAAATCCATTTTTACCATTCCTGGGGAATTTTTTAATGGATTTTTTTATACTTTTCTGTAATTTTGGTGGGGATTTTTTTGGGTTTTTTTTTACAGAATAATCTCGATTTTTCCCGATTTTTGGGGGGATTTTTTTGCTGATTTTTCCCAAACCATTTTTCCCATTTCTGGGGATTTTTTTTTGGGTGTTTTTTGTGAATTTTTTGGGGGGATTTTTTTTAGTTTTTTTACAGAATAATTCTGATTTTTTCCCGATTTTTGGGGGGATTTTTTTTTGTTTTTTTTACAGAATAATTCAGATTTTTTCCCGATTTTTGGGGGATTTTTTTGCCAATTTCCCCGAGCCGTTTTTCCCAATTTCGGGCATTTTTTGGGGTGATTTTTGGGCATTTTTTGGGGTGATTTTTGGGGATTTTGGGCGCACTGACGCTGGTGACTTTGCGTTTGATGTTCTCCAGGAGCCGCTCCTGGAAGGATTTGTACAAACCCAATTCTGGTGATTTTTTAATGGGAATTTTTGCTGGTTTTTCCCAAACTGTTTTTCCCATTTCTGGGAAATTTTTGGGGAATTTTTAAAATACTTTTTTATAATTTTGGGGCGGGGGGGATTTTTTTTTGTGTTTTTCCAGAATAATTCCGATTTTTTCCTGATTTTTTCCGATTTTTGGGGAGATTTTTTTTAGTTTTTTTTTACAGAATAATTCCGATTTTTTCCCGATTTTTTTGGGGATTTTTTTGCCGAATTTCCCGATTTTTGGGGGGATTTTTTTTAGTTTTTTTTACAGAATAATTCTGATTTTTTCGGGGATTTTTTGCCGAATTTGCTGATTTTCCCTGAACCGTTTTTCCCAATTTGGGTCATTTTTTGGGGTGATTTTTGGGGATTTTGGCGCACTGACGCTGGTGACTTTGCGTTTGATGTTCTCCAGGAGCCGCTCCTGGCCGCGCAGGAAGAACGGGTGCTGGAACTCGGTGTCGTCCTTCTCCGGCTTCACCAGCCCGCCCTGCTCCAGGTGCAGAACCTTCCGGAATCCGTCTGGAAATGGGGCAAAAAACGGCAAAAATGGGAAAAACGGGAAAAAACGGGAATTATGGGGAAAAAATGGGAATAAAATGGGAATAAATGGGATTTTCCATGGGAAAATGGGATTGTGGCAGCAGCCCGCCCTGCTCCAGGTGCAGAACCTTCCGGAA